AACTCATATTTTGTGTGTGTGTGTGTGTGTGAGAAAAAGAGGGTAAAAACCAAGGAAGCTTATAAATTTAAAGAAGCCAAGATAGAAAACCTACTATGAAATAAATTTGGACTTATCACATTATACAAGAATTCAGAGAAGTTGGAAATGAACGGAAAGAATGGCATTACTTAGAAAAAGTCTCAGATGCTGGCAAAGGAAAAAAAGTGTTGGATGGAATTATTGAATGAGCTTTCATCAATTTTATATGTTGCCACCCTTGCCAACATTTATTTCTTAAATAACCTAGATTCAAAAACAGTTACCCCACTTTAATCTTTGGTCTTTATCAAGTGTTTAAAATGTCTTAATCAAAATGTAACAATTATAAAATGATTGCTTATTTTTGTTTAGCGGCATATCAACAGCTCTATGGGTTATTTAATGCTGAATATTTGGAACACAATTTTATTTTATTTGGGCAAATAGTTTTAGTGATACAAGCCTTACTAATTAACCCATAACTGGGGGACAAGAGGCGGATTCATACCTTTCCCCAAGGGTATTTGTGCTGAAGTGAATCTAACAAACCCAACTGGAATTGGAACTTTGCTCTCTGATTAACCTTTCAGATCCAGTATACATTACACCACCTATACATCCAAGCTTACAGCACGTGGTATTCCCAAGCAGTCACCCATCTAGGTACTGACCAGGCTTGAAGTTACTTAACTTCAGTGATTTATTATTAAATGAGGCAACCAAAATAAAATGTCCTTAAGGTTTTGGTGATGATAAAAAAATTAAAAAGGCCTGAAGAAATATGAAATGCTAGCAAATGCATTGAAAGTAAAAATTAAAAATCTTCAAGTGGCAAATGGGAGTGTGACAAGGTTTAACAGAGATGACGGCTGTGAGGAAACGTTGAGAAAAGAAAGGATCACAGGTCATTAAAGAATAGCATTTTTCAGTTTTGGGATTTTACAAAAGATCTGCAAAAAGGCAAAATTAAAGTGAATGCATCAACTTACAAATGTTTGTATCACACAAAAATGCATCAAGAGACAAAAACATCTTATAGATCTTAATCTTAGAAAAAAATATTTTAAACAATTCCTAAAAACCTTGCAGTGTCAACCCCCACTCGTGTGTGTGTGTGTGCGTGAAATTTTCAGTTATAAACCTTGCAGTTGCCATTAAGAAAGTTCCTCAGAGGATGAGACACATCAGCTAAGTTGCTCTTTTGTCTTTTATGATATATATATATGCAGCATATTTTCATTCAAGTATCTTTGGTTAAATAATTTAGACACATGTCTATTTATTTTAGTTTAAATCATTTTAAGTCCATGAATTAATTTCTTGGTGGCTGTAGAAAATTGATTAAGAAAAATTCCAAAATTTTCTTTCCAATAATTTTTATTTTCTCAAGTATTTTCAATCTCATCTGAGACAATCTTCAGGGGTTGCCTATCTATGGATGTGTTTATGCGTTAACAATGTAAATTTAAAAATAATTTTTTTTTTATCTCTATGTAAGGGAGGCAACTTATACGATTTGTTTTTTTTTTTTTTTAATTGTAGTAATTTAATTTAGTATTTTTTATATAACAATTTTCTGCTACAAACATTTAAGAACTTTGTTGCTGTACTCGTAGTTGAAAAGTGAATGTCCTAACTATTAGAAAATAACTATCATACGAAACTTAATAAACCGTGCAAAAGCAAAACTCTTCAGCAAGAAAGATTTTCTATGCTGTATCAAAAAAATATTAAACACTCATTAACAATGACTTCCCTAATTATATCGTTGATGAACAAATTAGATGAGCTATTAATATTAACATAAATAAGAGAGAGACAGAGAATTTTGAAAGTTTCTCCTTACACATTTTACTGATGAACTGGTGTCATCAGAAAAAGGTCACATCAGTAAACATGTCAAAATAGAAATTTCCCCTCTCTCTCTCTCTCTATATATATATATAATGTGTGGTGGGGGGTGAATAGAGACCAAAGAAAAACTTTTCTTTACCAATGAGTTTTGTCCTCTAATAAACTATCTTGGTAAAGAAGTTTTCCTTTTGTCTTTATTCATATTGTCTTTTTATAGATATGTTTTATTTATATCTGAATTTTTACATTCTGTCTCTCTCTGTAAAGATTCTTGTATGTCTAAGTAGGCATTGGATGGTAATGTGTATTTGTATTCTTACATACATATAGAATTATCTAGTTTTAATACACGTGACTGATCAATGAGAACTGACCCAAACAAAATAAAATACCAGAGTTTCTGTCTTTTTGTTAGTTTTTTTTCTCTCTCTCTCTCTCTTAAATGGATTTTTTAATAGGTATATGTGTTTAAATGGCTATCCACTTTTAAAAATTCTCTTAAACATTGAAATTAATAACAACTGGCTTAAATTTCTGAAGAAAAACTGTGCCTCTGACAGGAATTGAACCACTATCCCTGTTTTATAATTGAGGATACCTTATATAACTCAAACATGCCAATAACAGTTTGGCCCAAGGAGACCATTTTGATAGAACCAGGTTTGAATTAAAACCAGTAGTATTCCTTGTGTTCTGTTGGTGTTGTCAATTTCACTATTAAAAAAATAATAATAAAAAAGCAGGGTTAGCAACTCACACAGAATGTTTACTTCCAATGTGTCATGATCAGAAAATAAAGAAGCAGCTTTTGATGAAATTTGAATTTGCATCCCATCTCCTTGGGAGCCAGTCTTACATGAACAACACTTTAACTGATTAGGCAACAGAAGTTAATTTATTGAATGATATCTGCAGATTGAGTCATATAGTTACACTCTTATTTAATTTACTCCAAATGATATTGTTTTGTCGACACCAATGAAGACTTAACATCGGGGAGAGGAAGATGAAATTTCTAGGAGTCATCATGAGGAAAGAGAGCTTGGAAAATCCAATACTCACAGAACAGATTGAAGGCAACAGTGACAGAGGAAAACAACACGTAACCTACCTCGCGAGTTTGAGTAAATGGATGGTGGAACAAAGTTTAGGAGAGATAACAAAAAGACAAAATTTATTAAGAGTTATAAAGGACAGGAAATTGTGGAGAGCCATGATCGGCAACATCCCGAGAAGATACGGCACATAGAAGTAGTAGTAGATATAATAGTTTTAAGTTGTCTGGAAAATGAATAAGTATACGCCATCTCAGAGATCCAGACAACTTAAGACTATTATATCCTCCACTACTTGGAGTAAATTAAATAAGAGTCTAAGTATATGACTCAATTTGTATTTTATCTGTTGATGGGGAAGCATTTAATTGGTAAAAGGTGCTGTTGATATGAAACAGGTTTCCAAGAACAAGAGAAAAGGTGGAGGCTGCTATATTATTTCTGATTCCTGCTACTTTATTTAATGGTTGTAGAATGCAAGAACAAGCCTATGTTATAAGGAACAATAAAAACAAAACAATTCCAAATTTGATAATAAAAGCAAATGCAGAAAGCAAATGCATTTGCAATCTATTCAACTTTGTGCCAAATCCGGATGATGACTTCATAAACACTTCAGAAAGAAATTCAATAAAGTGGGTGAAAATTCAAAAAGAAGGGAGGAGGAAATAAATTTATTAAAATTTTGAAATTATTGTCATTGTAATATTATTGCACGGAGATTATTCTTAGAAAATAGACATTGTTCGTCTTCCATGTTAAATACTGAAAATTAAATTTATTTAACACATTTTGTCTTAATGATTAGAAAATGTTGTTAAGATCACGGAATCAGATGGTCATCTGAAATGATTCATTTCAGGACTTTGAGAAATTTGTATGAAAGTGAGTAAAATGTTACAGCTGTCAAAAAAGACTTCAAAAACAAACCTATGATGATGATTGTGTGTGTGTGTGGCTTGGGCTCTTCCAACATCTCACCATTCTTGGCAGAATTCCTATTATCACAGTGTAGGATATTTAATAAGAAAAGTGATGGAAAGAAAAAGAATCTAAATGAAATCAGAAGAAAAAAAAAAAAATTTTAAATTCCTAGCATCCCTAATTCATTCGCATGTGTAGTCATACCATCATAACAGATCTGATGAAGTCCTAAAGGTGTGTGTATATATATATATATATATATATATATAGAGAGAGAGAGAGAGAGAGAGAGGAGGAGGAGGAGGAGAACTGTAAAAGTTAAAACAAATTTCAACAAAGTTTTACATGCCAAAAAAATAATGGTTGAATAACCTGCTATAACTTTTAGTTTCTTTTCCTTTGAATGTTGTGCATATGTGTTTCATTGAATAATATAGATCTATTGTGTCTAATTATTTTTAAAATACAGATCCTTTCCAGTTGTCTAAGCAGTTTCTTGATGTTAAGATGAAATTCATCAAGAGAGGCTCCACATGTACAACGGATAAATTTAAAATTCTAAAACGTACAAACAGCGTGAGTTTAAAAAAAAACAAAAAAAAACACCATCACAACGGAATGCAAATTTTATCAGTTTCAATGTTTGTCTTTGGAATTTACCCCCTGAAGATGATCTTAGAAAAGGATGAAAGTATGGCACCATGCTTGATGAATTTCATCTTAACACCAAGAAACTGAATAGACAACTGGCAAGGATCTGTATAAAAATAAGTAGACACAATATATATTATTATCCAACAGAACATATTTGAATGAAGATATGCTGCCTATATATCTATCTCAGGTTCTGTAATTTCTAAGCTATTTATTGTTTTTCTCTCTTAAAACAACTGAATGCAATGCAATACAAGTCACTCGGTATTACTCATAATGGGGGAGAAATAAAAATAAAAAAAAAAGAAAAGATATAAATAATTTTGTTTCTTGGAGAATTTTACAAAAAACATTGTAAGTTGTAGAGGTTTGTCAGAAAAAAAAAAAAAAAAAAAGTTTGCATGACAAAAAGCAGGAGTTGATGTGCGGAGAGGGATTTCTTTTTTTTTCTTTTTCTTAATTTCCCTATAGAAAACATACAAAATTTATTTATTAAACAGCTCCCATTGTTTCCAATTTCCGATCAATACTTTTTCTGACTAGTTTCAGGGACAGCTCATCGAGTTCTTTGACAAGTTGAAGAACTGCTTGCAAAATATGAGTGTTCTGGAAGAAGAAAAAAAAGAAAAGAAAAAATAAGACTTTTTTTAAATTTATTTTTTAGATGTATACCAAATCGTTTCCATTCCTTTGAATGGACTATAAATAGCCAATCAATATGATAATCCAAATGTATGGAAGGAGAAAAAATACCCAAAAACAAAAAAAATGCAGTCCCAGAATTTAAATCTGGAAAAGCATCTTGTATCCTGATTAAGAAAGTAAACATTAGAAAAATCAGTTTTTAACTGAAACAAAAGAAAGTCTTGAGCAACAGGAATTGTAATCTTCCTCCTCATCATATTTGAGATGAGAATTTCATCTTCAATTAGAAAATTTTTAGTAAAAATCAGAGTTCAACAAAAACTTTTGAAATCCTTAAATGACCTCAACACCATTAGTAAATTTACAGTCAGTAATGCATTTGGATAATCAATTATTTGAAACAAATTTACTGCTCGATTGGAATTAGAAACACATTAGGCATTCACAATGCTGTCAATACTTTGAACACAAAAAAACATTTAATTTCAGGAAGAATAGATAAATATATATTTTTGTCAGCCATCTTTATTAGCTTTTACTTGTCCGTACAACTGCAGCCCAGGTTGAATATTTGCCTCAAAAGTTCCTGACCTGCGGATGGTAGCATCTGTCAGTGTCCCAGCTATGGGCAAATAGTGACCCCACCCCCAAACAAAATGCTATGAAAGTATAAAAATGCATTTTTATAGTAAAATCCCAGCAATACATTTTTATATAAAAAAAGATGACCACACCTATTTATAGTAAAATGACCAAAAATACATTTTTAAAGCAAAATAACCAGCAGTACATTTTATCTGTATTTGGAAATATACAATTGCGTTCAAAATATATTTAACCGTATTTTTTTTTAGTAAAATTACGCATTTGCAAGAGGAAAAAAAACCTGCTGAAGGGAGGTAACTGTTGAAAACGATTTGCCTGTCAGCAGATCCTTACCAAGAAACGTGACAGAAAAGGCGGCAATAAACTGGGTTTTGAGATAAAAGAAATTTTGTGGAAGATTTTATAAAGAAAGAATTTTTATGTTGCTAAGAAGATTGATTATTAAATGGTTTTCAGGTTTTATTTCAGACGAAAAAAAATGCTGAATTTAAAAAAGAATTGATCTGCTAAATTAGGTTTCTTAGCAAAAATAATTATCAGGTTTAGGTTAATTACAATGATTGATGGATGGATTCGTTTTTTACAGCTCATCAACCCTTTTCAGTTTATTTAAAGTCAGAAGATATGTTTTTTAGTTTGTAAGAATTTTATTTTTCTTGAGATAATATTTCAGTCATGCACGTCTTACTAATTGAAGGGAGGAGAAGGGGATTCAGGTTTCTCAAGGATATTTGCATGTAAGTGAATACAACCCAACTGGAATTGGAACATGGCTCTCTGATTAACAATTCAGAGCCATTATCCATTACACCATCGACACATCCAAGCAGTCACCCATTTAGGTACTGACCAGGCTCAACATTGCTTAACCTTGGTGATCGTACGGGAACTGTTGTTTTAATGTGATATGGCCATAAGCCTGATTAATTATAGGACAAGGTTTTTTGTAAATTGTTTTCATATTTTAGAATCTTGGATTAAATTTCCATGGTTAATGTTCATCAAGTTAGGCAATGAAAGTAAATGCTAGGAGAATAGAATAAATAATAAATGATGATTGTACAATTAGAAAAGACGTTTCAAAATACATGTAGTCGGTTTTCTGAATCAGAAATTCTAAATCAGATTGGAACTGAAAATTTAGTTTAATTTTATATTTAAAGATAAAAATGGAAAAAAAAAAAATTGCTAACGTTTCAAAGTGAATTTTTAGAATCTGAAATCAAAACAATTCAATTTGTTCAAAAGAATGAAGAACTTGAATTGAAAAGTTAATTTTTATTCAATTTCCTCAAAATTGATGCATTTTTAATTTGTAAGAAAATATGGATATGAAGTTGAGGAGGAGAATATGTTCAAAAGAAGAAAAAAAAAGGGAAAAATAATCAATTGTCAATCATAATAAACATTAACATCAAATGTTTATGAAATTGATAACCATGTGCATCCAGTGCAATACTTTAAGAGAAAAGCTTGTGCAATGGTGTGTGTGTGTGTGTGGGGGGGATTTCAAGGACAGGATAAACAAGCAGAAGGCTGATAAGAAAAAAGGGAAGGGGGGGGGATAAGAAAAAAGGGAAAGGAAAGGGGGGGGACAAGAAAAAAAAGAAGCACAATATCCAACAATTGAAAGCAGAAAGGAGGAGGAAATGTTATTGTTTAACAAGAAAGATACAACTGCAGAAATTTACATGTCAATTATTTACTGAGATTTTTGTCTGCTGTAAAAACAATCCAATGTATTTAAATAGGAATTTTGAAAAAAAAAAAAAAAAATGACGTATCTTGTTCCTTGAACTGCCTGAAGATTGTGAAATATTTTTATTTCTATTTATAAATACGTGTTGCAAAATAAAATACATTTGCCTTGATAAAAAAGTCCCTCAAAGAATGAAATGTGTTGGATAAGAAAAGTTTTCCTTTACACACATGCAGACACAGAGACACACACACACAAAAAAGAAGAAAAAAATCAACCTAATAACAACAAAATTTTTTTTTTTTTTAAACTTAATATAAAAATAATGAATATGAGAAAATTGGCAGACAATTGCTGATACTGTCTGATGAATAGAGCAAATGATGATGACAAGAAAGCTTATCTATGAAACTCTGGAGTCAGAATATAACATCAAGCAGTGGCAAATTTGATATTTGTATTAATCCTATAGATTGTCACACATGCGATAAAAGAAATAAGATATAAAGAAAAGTAAAGGCAAGAAAACCAACTAAGTTTTATAGTAAACAAAAAAAGGTTTTATTATAATTTTAGTGATTATGGTCAGTGACAAAAAAACAAAACAAAAAGGCTTACTGGCAAGAAGTTAGAAATACTTCAAAATAAATTCAGTCAGGAGTTGTTGGGGTTTTGTTTTACATATCAGGTCACCAAATGGTAGTAAATGGATGGCTCTAAAACAGATTTCTACAATTGACTGTCAGCTAACTCTGTTAATTTTGGTGCCAACTAATGAATACTCAGATGAAAGACCTTCATTTTGTAAGGTCATCTTTGAAGTCTTTGATCTAAATGACCCAGAACTTTTGACCAGAGAAGTTTTATTTGTAAAAATAGATTCTCTTAACAAAATATACCCCACTGAAGAATGGACAGACAGGTCTGCCAATGAAACTCTGGAGTCGGGATGCTGAAGGTAACATCACTCAGCTAAGTGAATTTTACTCCCATTAAAACAAAAGGAAAACTTTTCTTAGCTAATGCATTTGTCCTCTGATGGAATTTATCAAGGCGAGTTAAGGAATTTATTTCAAAATAAGTATTTATAAACACAATTAAAAATGTTGTTAGTTTATCCAGGTTTTTAAATTTCAATAATGCTCACAATTGAATAACCTCAATCTCTGTATGGTCAGGAGGGTACAAAGTCAAGACTGCAACAATGCTTCCTCCACCCCACCTATTACCACTGGATGTTAGTTGAAAAAGAAGAGGAGAGAGAGAGAGAGAGAGCTGCTTTGTTGGTAGGTAGATAGGGATGAATATGCAAAAAAAACAACTAAAATTTAATAGATCTTGACCAGAACAGGCAAATTCTCATGACATGGAAAGTCTAAGGCAATTAACACTGTTCTGTTTGCAGCATCTTGTCACATATGATATACTGGCTGGGGGTCTGCCTTTGTATCAATACAGCATGGATTTGGTTAGGGTTATCTATCCTAGCCTTTGTCCAGTAAAGGGAACCACAAGATGTCAAGAAAATTGTCTATAATATATATATATATATATATATATATATATATATATACATATATTGTTAAATATAACAGACAATGAATGTCTATTATGTTTGATCATGAGCCGTTCTAAGCTTCGTATAGTGGCTTTAATTTTGGGAGAAAAAGACAAAAACTGTCCAACATTTGGATATTTTTTTTTTATTATGCTGTTCCTTGATCTAAGCTTTCCACCTTTGCAGGAGAAACCATTGTATGATCCTCTGTGCTTTAACAGGTTGACTATGAAGAGCTTTATAATCAAGCAAGGTCCTATTTACCGCAAAATGGTATATCTCCTCAGTTTTGAATACAAAACAAAGCAATTTCTAAATAATACTTAATAAATTTTATTCTTTTACCCGACATATTTTTATTACACCAAACATTGTTTTTAGTGTTTACCCGTAAGCAATTTACTCAGTGAAAAATGTAAAGAATGTGCTTTGATCATTAGATTTATCCACAGTAAATTTATGTCCAGGTTCTTTCCATATTTTACCTTTCTTGGCAGATCTTCTATTATCACAATGTGCAATATTTAATAACAAAAGTGATTTTAACATGAACAAAAAAAAAAAAAAAAAAATCAAATTAGGATTTAAAATTCTCAGCATTCCTCTCTCCTTCATAACCGTGTGTGGTTGCATAAATGTAAACATCACTTGAGTTTGATGAAATTCTAAAAGAAGAAACTAGTCACAGAAAACCTTTTCCCACACACACAGAAAGAGACAAAAGGAAAACTTTTTAACAACAGATATATATATATATATATATATATATATATATATATACACACACACACAAATAAAGAGAAAGAACGGTCAGATTAAAAATAAATCCACAGTTCTTTAGCATTTATTTTTTAAAAAAGTGCTTGATGCAAAGTAGAGCTTAATATTATATTATTATTTTTATATAATACATACATACATACATACATATATATATATGTTATTAGATTTATCTTATTATTTGTATTTATTTATTATTATATATTTTTCTTTAATAATATTACTATTTTTGCATTAAATTAGATTAAGTTAGCTCCCTTCCATTATATAAATAAATAATTTAGAGTTGATAACCCACCACTCTAAAATTTAATAAATCAATGATTACTTGTTTTTTATGTTCATATAGTGATGCTAGTTATTTTAGTTGTTAGAGAAATTTTAGCTGTCATGAGAAATATAATTTTTTAAAACAATAATAATAATAATAAAAAAAGATATATATCACAATATAAATATTGCTTAACTACGCCAGCATTAGGATAAACAGATATATTTTAAAATTAAAATAATGGTCAATATACACTCAGCATCCGAAGGCATTTGGCATGAAACTCCAAGTAGTGCAATCAGTATGTATATATATATATATATATATATATATATATATATATGAGAAGAACACTTGAATTTTGGGGAAATGGTGAATGAGACATTTTAAGCTTTCAAAAAAAAGAAAAAAAAAAAAAAGAAAGAAAGATGAGAAACAAAGAAAACCTGTTCCAAATGCAAGAGAGAAAATTGTTTTTAGGATTCTCACGTCAAAGTAAGAAAAAGCTGTGAGCAACAAAAAAACAAAAACAAACACCAAAATCCCAAACCCCAAAGCACATTGGAATCAAGAAAATTAGCTTTCAAATTTAGCAGCAAAGCATTTTTTCTTTTACGTTGAGAATCTAAAAATTTATTAAAAAAGTTCACTACTACAATATTGGCAAAGGCTAAACACACATCTATTCACTGGCTTTAGTATCACAACTCTTACCGCCACCCCAAATGGTTGCCTCATGATGATGATGATGATGATCATTGTGAAACAAGTCATAGCAAGATTATCAGGGAGAATTTACTGACTGAAAAAAATAGTGAAATCAAAAATAGTAATATTAGTTGAATCACACCAGGCATTGATTTATTGAGCCAAAGAACTTTATGAAACAAATGAAAGGGTTTTTTTGTTTTTTTTCTTTTAAATGTTTCTGCAATTGTTGATAATAGATAAAGCTATAAATCATTTTTTTTTAATTTTTTTAATTTGTGATGGATAGAAAATATTTTTTCTAACAGAGAATTAAAAAAGAAAAGGAAAAAAAAATAGACTTCATAAAAGCAAGAATTTTCTGCTATATAAATGCATACATTTCATTTTGGGGTTGTCCTGGGAGACCATTTTGACAAACAAGAATGTTAGTTATCAGATAACTTCACCCATTAACCCCACCCACTGTCAAATAATGTACACGGGTCACTTTTACAGCAACATTTATTTTGGGGATAGGTGGTAATGGTGGGATAAACATTATGTTAGAAAACAAAACAGTTGTGTTTTTTTTCTAATGAGAAATTTCAGCATGGATATATTACGTTATTCAGTTTATACAAAGATATTTTTTTAACTCTACATTTATTTAAAATGGGACAGCCATTTATATTTGAATAAGTGACATGATCAGAAACAAATTTTGCTATTCATTTCAGGAAAATTTCAGTATTTTGAGAAAAAAAAGGAATAAAATTCAATGAAAAAAAAAACAAAAACTGAAAATCACTTGGCAAACTGTTGAGAAAAATTAACAAGATTCATTTCTTTCCTTCTTTGCTCATTTTAAGAATATGCAGCTCGTACTAAACACTGTTAGAAGTTAATGTGGACGGTATGA